CCCTGCAGCAGACGGGACTCTCAGCCGCAAGCAGAACAGAAGGTTTATTGGTTCCCAGGGACACAGCGTAGCTTGGGATCGATGCTAACACAGGGACCGAGAGCAGACAGCCTTCTTCCTCTTGGGGGAAGGGGTCCCGGGCCCTTCTCCCCCCTTTCCTGCTCTAAGCCCCCTCTCCTCCTAACTGCGCCAGGACTGCCTCATCCCCCAGATCCTACCCGCCCCACCTCCCCTCTGGGCAGGAGTTAGCTCCTGTCTGGCCCTCCGGTGGCAGGCCGAAGACGCTCCTGTCCCCTCCAGAGAGTGGGACCCACGCAGAGCACAGTACAGCAACGAGAGGACAACACCCCGCTGTGTCACATGGGCGCTGTGTGCAGCTCGCCTGTGGTGCAGAGCAGTACAGTAGCCTCGGGGGCTGGAAGACAACCCAGAGCCGAGCTTGGGTGACAGCGCGTCGCGTCGCTGGACTACGAGTGGAGATGGAAATGCTGCGTGGCGTGCAGATGCTCATGCTAGTCCTTGCTTGAGCTGCAAGTATGGCTGGTACAAGATGGCCACCCTTCCTGTGGGCTGGGCTGATTGAGCGATGTGTGCTCCTTCAGCCCTGCAGCAGGACGTCCCGCGGGCTCTCGGCACTGCTGGAACGTGGGTGCGGCCGAGGCACTGTCTGATCCGATCCCGCGCTCATCCCTTCCCTCTAGACCGGCTCTTTCTCTTGCTTGTGCCCGTTGTACGGCCGAGTCCCAGTGTGCTGATCACCCGTTGGGGTGCTGTGTGAGCGCTTGCACGGGGATCCTTCTGAGGGCAGCTCCCCTGCTTTACACAGTTGGGGAGCCTAAGGCTGGATGTGCCCCCCCAGGCTCAGGGCTCCCCCTCAGCATTGGGGAGCCTACACTGGTGCGCCAACCCCCTCCCCCACCGCCTCCCTGTGGGGCTGGAGCAGCCAAATCTACTAGCCTTGGCCCCCCAAGGCCCTGGTGTGTGAGGGGACTGGGGGGAGGGTCTTTCTCCGTCCCACCTGGGGGCTGCTTCAGTGAGGGTGTTCTTTTTTCTCCTCATTGAGTGCCACCCCGACTGATTTGTCTGTAAAGCTGGGGGGGGAGGGGGGCTGCTGATCTAAACTCCTTTTTGTCCTGGGCACAGTCTGAGTGCCCGAGGAGACCCGTAACATGTGACTGCAACATTGTCATCTAGGCCAGCGATGCTGGACCTCGGCTTGTCAGCGAGTGCCCCTCATAGAGCTGTGCCACGGCGCTGGCCCACGGAGGCGTGTGCTTCACGGGTATACCACCACACGTATTCCCGGGGAGGCTGAGCGTCTAGATTGCGTGTAGCCCGGCCTTGTGCTCCCGGGTGGGAGCCTCTGAATGCATTACGTGTGCGAGGTGCATCCTACAAAGGCATGGTGCACATTAGCCTGTAACGAGCATGGGTGGGAAATTCAGAGGACACTGCATGTCTTGAAGGTGCGAGTGAGGGTCTTTTCTGACTCTCTGCTTCGTTCCGGATTTGGGGAGCTGGGGATGCTGGCCGAGGGAGGCTGCTAGTTCTCATGTACAAGACGTGGACCAGCCAGGCTTCTTGGAAGAGGAGTAGGAGAGCATGGTGCTGAGGAACAGGAGGTTCACAAACCCAACAGCCCTGCTGATAGGCAGCAAGGATGTTAAATTTCCAGTAATCAGCTAATCAAGTAGTCGATGGAATTTCCAGTAGGAAAGTCGATGGAATTAGTCAGTAAAGGAGGCACTTGCTAGTCCTCTGCGCCTCACCCTTTGAAATGTACGTGACCTCCTGGGGCCCTTGTATGTTTCAAAGGGAGACGTGCAGCGGTTGGATGCTCAAGAAAGATGTGGAGAAAGTCCAGCGAAGGGCAACAAGAATGAGGAAAGGTCTAGAGAACATGAGCTGTGACGGCAGACTGAAGGAATTGGGCTGGTTTAGTTTGAAAGGAGAAGACTGAGGGGACATGAGCGTGGGTTTCAGGTACCTAAAAGAGAGTTACAAGGAGGAGGGAGAAACATCGTTCTCCTTGGCCTCTGAGGATAGAACAAGCAGCAAGGGGCTTAAACTGCAGCAGGGGAGGTTTAGGTTGGACATTAGGAAACACTTCCTGCCTGTCGGGGGTGACACACTGGAATAAATTGCCCGAGGGGTTGTGGAATCTCCGTCCCTGGGGATATTGAAGAGCAGGTTGGACAGACACCTGCCAGGGATGGTCTAGACAGTGCTTGGTCCTGCTGCGAGGGCAGGGACTGGACTTGATGACTCTCGAGGGCCCTGCTCGTTCTAGTGTGCTGTGATTCAAAGGGAGAGGCGCAGCGGCAGGGACCCCACTGCACCTCTCCCTTTGACACGTGCAAGGGCCGCGGTGCCTCGTGTACGTTTCACAGGGAGAGGCGCAGCGGCAGGGACCCCACTGCACCTCTCCCTTTGACACGTGCAAGGGCCGCGGTGCCTCGTGTACGTTTCACAGGGAGAGGCGCAATGGCAGGGACCCCACTGCACTTCTCCCTTTGACACGTGCAAGGGCCGCGGTGCCTCGTGTACGTTTCACAGGGAGAGGCGCACGTGCAAGGGCCGCGGTGTCTCGTGTACGTTTCACAGGGAGAGGCGCAATGGCAGGGACCCCACTGCACTTCTCCCTTTGACACGTGCAAGGGCCGCGGTGCCTCGTGTACGTTTCAGAGGGAGAGGCGCAGCGGCAGGGACCCCACTGCACCTCTCCCTTTGACACGTGCAAGGGCCGCGGTGCCTCGTGTACGTTTCAGAGGGAGAGGCGCAGCGGCAGGGACCCCCCCGCCCCCCCCCCCACG